AAAATAAATAACAAAGCCAGAGGACCTGATGGGATCCCTGCTGAAATCTTTAAAGAGGGAGGACCTGAGCTGACACAACAACTCCACCAGCTCATAGAAGAAGTGTGGGTGACCGAGAAAATCCCAGCAGATTTCAAGGATGCCACCATCATCACCATCTTCACCCGCTTGTTTATAAAGCTATTGTCCTCCCAACCTTGCTATACGCTTGCGAAACGTGGACTATCTACACACGTCACATTCAACTCCTGGAATGATTACATCAGCGCTGCCTCCGGAAAATCCTGCAAATCTCTTGGGAAGACAAGCGAACAACTGTCAGCGTGCTGGAAGAAGCAAAGACCACCAGCATTGAAGCGATGGTCCTCTGTCATCAACTCCACTGGACCGGCCACATTGTCCGGGTGCCCGACCACCATCTCCTCTGTTGAGGAGTTACGAAGGTGGAGGCATTACTTTTTATTCAACTCTCATACTCTCTAGAATAGATGCAACTTGGTGCCACTTTAGCTGCTATGTCTCAATGCTGTGGAATCATGGGAGATACAGTTTTAGAAGGTGTTCAGAGAAATAACCTGGTATGTCATTCTAACAACTGAGAAACCTAAATTGCTTTGCACGAATGCTACTGGATATTGACCACTAAGGAGAAGATTAGCTTTCCCTGCCAAAGAAACTACAAATCCTGGGAATTCAACAGCATTAATCCACAACAGTTCGATTGGTATCGAAGTGCATTAATTCTGCAGCGGAGATGCACCCGAAGCCAAACCTACGTTCTTTGCTGCCGGTATCCCGAGAGGTCCAGGATGGATTTCCGAGGGAAAGACCTGAAGAGTTTTTGCACCTGCTGTTTCCATGACAACAGCCGTTTCTTCTGCGTCTCTGTAAACGCCTGCCCGAAAGAGATGCAAAAAGAATTAAAATACAATTTATTTACTATTTTGGAAGACAACAAAGGCGATAGTAACAATGGGAAGGCATCGGGTTAATTAATAACGTGCCTTGATCAATGGATGCAAGGAGGAGCAAACAAACACATTGTGCAAAAGCCAGTAAGAGCTGTAAGCGAGCATTGCAAGCAGAGAAAAGTTAGGAATGTAAACAATGGGTTGCTAGCAAGCTTAACCCAGACGATTAGCCTTTGGAGGGAGACAAATTGAGCCGTCATTTGGAGAAGACCCTACAAAGCAAGGTCTTGAACTGCGCAGACGAAGTGTCCTGGTGATACTCCCCAATTATGGATTCTCCAAGTAGTAGGAAGGCTCGAGAGCAGGTACGGCCAACTTGTACCGGCTGTTAGGAATTGTGGGAGTTGAAGTCCAAAACACCTGGGGGCCCAAGTTGGCCGTACCTGCTCTAAAGGAAGGGAACAACTTGCAGCTCGTAGCACAAATCCACTCAGCAAAATTGAGAAGGCCCTCCAGACTCTCCTTAAGGGTCGAGATCAATGTGAGGTTAATTGCGCAAATGTGCTTAATGTGCAAGTCCAGCAGCTCTGGGATGATGGGAGTTGGGGAGAGAGAGGGGAATATAACCAGCTGCTCTAAAAGCGGCTTCTCCTGTGTGGTTGTGTGTTTTCCGGGCTGTCTGGCCATGGAGAGAACACTTTGATAGGAATCTTTAGTCCTCCGGTGCAAATTCTGTAGTCAGAACTCCACATTTCCATGCTTCACTTTTTATGGTGGACTTAATTATTCACATATTCTCTCTTAGACCTAGGCCCCTTCTACATGCCATATAATATCCAGATTATCTGCTCTGAACTGGATTATATCCCCTGCAAAATACCGAGAAGCACTTTAATTACCCGTTGGGTTGCTCTCTACTTTTGATTTAAAACCCTCCAAATAGATACATCCTCTGCTCATGTCCAGCATTTATTTTTAAAGTTTTAACTATTACATCTGGCCCAGCCATAGGTTTTTTTAAATTTCTGTTGTTATTGTCTACCTGTGAGTTATACTAATTGTATTGTTTATTTTGTTTATTGCTTGTTGTTTATTATTGCTTGTTGTTTTTGATGTGTTGTTGGGCTTGGCCTCATGTAAGCCGCTCCGAGTCCCTTGGGGAGATGGTGGCGGGGTATAAATAAGTATTATTATTATTGTATTGTCGAAGGCTTTCATGGCTGGAATCACTAGGTTCTTGTGGGTTTTTTCGGGCTATAGCGCCATGTTCTAGAGGCATTTCTCCTGACGTTTCGCCTGCATCTATGGCAAGCATCCTCAGAGGTTGAGAAGGTCTGTTGGAAGTAGGAAAAATGGGCTTATATATCTGTGGAATGGCTGTGGTGGGGCAAGGAGCTCTTCCCTGCTGCAGTTAGGTGTGAATGTTTAGCTGATCACCTTCATTAGCATTTGAAGGCCTGCCTGAGCCTGGGAAAATCTGTTGCTGGGAGGTGTTAATCTGTGCCTGGTTTTTGGTTTTTTCCTCTCTGTTGTTTAGCTGTTATAATTTTAGAGTTTTTAAATACTGGTAGCCAGATTTTGTTCATTTTCATGGTCTCTTCCTTTCTGTTGAAATTGTCCACATGCTTGTGGATTTCAATGGCTTCTCTGTGTAGTCTGACATGGTGGTTGTGATAGTGGTCCAGCATTTCTGTGTTCTCAAATAATATGCTTATTATTATTATTATTATTATTATTAATTATATGGCAGTGTAGACTCATATAATCCAGTTCAAAGCAGATAATGTGGATTATCTGCTTTGATAATCTGGATTACATGGCAATGTAGAAGGGGTCCTAGAGCAGGGATGTCAAACACATTTTTATCCAAGGCTACATTGGCCGTGCGGTTGTGTTCAAACAGCTGTTGAATCAATGAATCAAGTATTTGTGGATACCCTGAGTGACAACTCCCATCACTTTTGATTATCCACCATGCAGACTGGGGATAATGGGAACTGCAACCCAGCAGCACTTGTAGCTATGAGGTTGGGGAATGGTTAAAGGATATTTTAAAGTCAGACATCCTATCCACAAGATTGGTTCAATTCCATCATTGGTGGAGTTCAGAATGCTCTTTGATTGTAGGTGAACTATAAATCCCAGCAACTACAACTCCCAAATGTCAAGATGTATTTTCCCCAAACTCCACCAGTGTTCACATTTCAGGTATTTGTGCCAAATTTGGTCCAGTGAATGAAAATAGATCCTGCATATCAGATATTTACATGACGATTCATAACAGGAGCAAAATGACAGTTGTGAAGTAGCAACAAAAATAATGTTATGGTTGGGGGTCAGCACAACATGAGGAACTGCATTAAGGGGTCGCGGCATTAGGAAGGTTGTCCTGATGGGAGTGAATGCGGAGTGCTGACTGTACTGCAGAGTTGTGCAAAAATAGACTAGAACTTACTCACCTCATGAATTAGGCATTTGTCGATGAGCTGTAGATAGGAACTGATGTTCTCCTCATCTGGCCTGGAGACAAGAAGCTGAGTACACACTGCAAGGCAAAGGAGAGACAATCATTTTACAAGTGTGGCCTGTGGAAAGAAAACGGAGAATGTATCCAGAGGAGGGCGACTCAAATGATCAAGGGTCTGGAGAACAAGCCCTATGAGGAGCGGCTTCAAGAGCCGGGCATGTTTAGCCTGAAGAAGATAAGGCTGAGAGGAGACTTGATAGCCATGTATAAATATGTGAGAGGAAGTCATAGGGAGGAGGGAGCAAACTTGTCTCCTGCTTCCCTGGAGACTAGGACGCAATGGAGCAATGGCTTCGAACTACAAGAAAGGAGATTCCACCTGAACATTAGGAAGAACTTCCTGACTGTGAGAGCTGTTCAGCAGTGGAACTCTCTGCCCTGGAGTGTGGTAGAGGTTCCATCTTTGGAGGCTTTTAAATAGAGGATAGATGGCCATCTGTCGGGGGTGCTTTGAATGCAATTTTCCTGCTTCTTGGCAGAATGGGGTTGGACTGAATGGTCCACGAGGTCTCTTCCAACTCTAGGATTCTATGATGAATTTGCACCCAGGTCAAACTTACAATGCACCTCAATGACCTAAAAAAGAGTCACTCCCAAGGGAAGAGTCAATGGCAATGCATGTGGACGCAGGCCGTGCCTGGATTCCTGGATTCCATTCATGCCTTTCTGCCTTTCGTTCTATTTTGCGGTCCCTGTTACTGTGTGGCGTCAACCTGGAATAACTCAATTTCAAAGTCTATTTATAAAAAGGAAGCAGCTGGGCGCTTTGCATTCTCCTACATATGGAAAGGCGCCCACTCCGGAGCAAGGCGATGCAACCCTTGGCTTGCCGCAAGGGGGCACGCAGCAACATCAGAAGCGGCCTCGTGTTGCATGAGGCAGCTGCCTCGTATCGCTGGTTCCCGAGACATTTAATATCTGTTTGACCAATTTTCCACCTGAAAATAATCCTGATTGCATCAACATTGTGGAATTAATGCATTCTCACCCATTTCAATTGCCAAGGTCCAACGTCATGGATTCCTATGGAAATTTAGCTTTAGGTCTGTTTACACCAGACTTTCCTCCAACTTGGTCCAATCCAAATGTTTTTTGCTTATGTCCCCTGCCACGCATTGCTGTGGCCCACTCTGGTGGTCATGGGGGTTCTGCGTGGGAGTTTTGGCCCAATTCTATTGTTGGTGGGGTTTTCTGCTTCCTTGTATACTAGGACGCGGAACAATGGCTTCAAACTACAGGAGAGGAGATTTCATCTGAACATGAGGAAGAACTTCCTGACTGTGAGAGCCGTTCAGCAGTGGAACTCTCTGCCCCAGAGTGTGGTGGAGGCTCCTTCTTCAGAGGCTTTTAAACAGAGGCTGGATGGCCATCTGCCAGGGGTGATTTGAATGCAATATTCCTGCTTCTTGGCAGAATGGGGTTGGACTGGATGGCCCATGAGGTCTCTTCCAACTCTTTGATTCTATGATTCTATGATTCCATTAATGCTCTGTGATTGTGGGTGAACTACAAATCCCAGCAACTACAACTCCTGATTGTCAAGATTCTATTTTCCCCAAACTCCACCAGTGTTCACATTTGGGCATATTGAGTATTCGTGTAGAGTTTGGTCCAGATCGATCATTGTTTGAGTCCACAGTGCTCTCTGGATGTAGGTGAACTACAACTCCAAAACCAAAGGACACTGCCCACCAAACCCTTCCAGTATTTTCTGTTGGTCATGGGAGAACTGTGTGCCAAGTTTGGTTCAATTCCATCGTTGGTGGGGTTCAGAATGCTCTTTGATTGTAGGTGAACTATAAATCCCAGCAACTACAACTCCAAAATGACAAAAACGTTTTTTTGAGTGAAGGACATACATTGGGTTGTTAGGTGTCTTGTGTCCAAATTTGGTTTCAAATCGTCCAGTGGTTTTTGAATTCTGTGAATACCACAAACGAACATTACATTTTTATTTATATAGATTCTCATTAACTCCAGCTTGTATGGATGATGGGAGTTGATTTGCTCAGACATAGATACGGATTCGATATGCGGTCCACACATCGGAAATCTAATCTTTGGGCCATACTTCTTGGGGAGATAATTGGCATGCTATGTGAGGCCTGGAATCACTGGGTTGCATGTATACCCCGTTCTTCTTGACCTCCACGGAGGGACTCATAACGGCTTCCAAACAGGCAACAATTTGATGCCAAAAATAATACAAAACACGTAATAAATACATCCACAAAATTAAAATAATTCTAAATATACATTAAGAACCCGCTCGCCAGATTAAAATTAACAGAATTAAAATCGACATCCAAACCAGTCCAATAGATCTTGTCTTTCCCAGTAAACAAACTATTCTTTGAACATCTGATCCCATCACCAGGATTTAAGCTTCTTCCGGAAGGTCAGGATGGAGTGGGGCCACCACGGGGAAGGCCCTGTCTTTTGTCCCCACCAAACGTGACTGCGATGGCAGTGGGACCGAGAGCAGGGCCTCCCTGAATGATCAGTTTGTAGGGGGAGATATGTTCGGACAGGTAAATTGGGCTGGAACCGTTTAGGGTTTTATAGGTGAGCAACAGCACTTGGAATTGAGCCTGGAAGCTAATAGGCAGCCAGTGGAGCTGGTGTAGCAAGGGAGTTGTATGCTCCCTGTGGCCCACTCCCGTGAGCAACTTGGCTGCAAAGTGTTGGACTAGCTGAGGTTTCCGAACCGTCTTCAGAGGCAACCCCACGTAGAATGTGTTGCGGTAGTCTATTCAGGATGTAACCAGAGCATGGACCACTGTGGCCAAGTCAGACATCCCTATACAGACTTGTGGACAACCAGAGAAGTCAACCATAGCAGATCATTTGTTGAACCAACCTGGACACAGAATATTATTTGAGACCACAGAAATGTTGGCCCATTCTGACAACCATCCATTAGGAATGGTGGAGTCAGGAGTCCAAAACACCTGGAGGAGGGCCAAAATTGGCTCGTGCCTGATATTAATACACCCTGGGGAAAAGATGACAAGGAAGCATAGCTTTTTCCAAAGTTTTTGCATCAGAGACTGAATATGAAAGCAGACGACTCACCTTTCCCCATCACCTTCGTGAACTGCCCCGGGATGTCTCCTTCGGCCAGAGGGATGCCTCCAGATTCGCCCTCGCAGCCCGGCAAGTGCGGGTGGTGGTGTAGCCCCCCGGAAGCGGAGTCCTTGCAGTCGGGCCCGTGGCCGTCGGAGACGATCAGAGACGTGGGGCGGCGCGGCTCTGGGTCCCGGCCGTGTCCGTCCCCCGCCGAGGTCCGAGAAGAGTAGGCTTTGATCGGGGTGAGGATCATTTGGTGGAGCTCCTGGAGAGGGACGCGGAGGTTGCCCCCTTCAAGGATGTCCTGCGGGGTTGAGGACAACACATAATGCAGAGCTGAACCAAAACTAACTCATGGATTCCAACAGTACCACACTTAAGCAATAAGGATTAAATGCATAGCTATAGGATGCCGTCTGGCATGAAAGCAGTACACATGAAAGATTGAAAATGAGCCAACACCATCATGCAGCTGCTAAAAAAGCAGGAGTGTAGCATCCTGATCAAGAGAAGTCATGGTTCCACTGTTGTAGTAGAGCCTATGAGTAGCGATGCTACCAGTAGTGTGGACACTAGAAGGGGAAAACGGGTTACTCGGAAGCCGGAGTCTGATGAGGAGCAACAGGGGACGATGGGTCAACAAGTGAGGAGGAGGAAGGAAACATCATGGATTGGTCTCAGGGAAGGAAAAGGACTACTTGGGAGCAGGAGTCTGATGAGGAGCAACAAAGGAAGAGGATCCGGGAGATACTTAATGCGCCCACAGATGAGGAGTCATTCTTGGGTTTCTCTGGGGGTGATGGGTTAGAGAGTGATGAAGAAGGAGATAACACATTGGACTGGACTCAGGTAAAAGAGGGACAAGCTGTATGTGTGGAGCAAACGTCCAGTGATACATTCGTGAGGTTTTCTGGTAATGAGGATTGGCAATCGCGGAATATGGCTGAATCTCGGGGGGACCTAAGTCTTGACAGAAGATGGAGAAATTGGAGGAATGGGAATAGGAATTCACGCGTGGAATCAAAAACAGCTGCAAGGGATAATGATGGGGCGGAGGCCAGCTCATCTTCTGATGATGATGTGTAAGATAAAAGTAGGCTCTAAAATGGGAATCCTTGCAGAAGGCAAAGTGTTGGATTGTGCATTGGATTCTTGTCGCTGCCTATTTCGTGTTGGTATTGGGTCCTGGATCTACAGGTTACTGCTTCCATTCGTGTGTGTTTTTGACTCGGCTTGGATTCCCATGAGTGCTGACTTCTCCTTTCCTTGACTTTGGACCGATTTGACTACGACGCTGACTACGTGGACTTTGGGACTTTGCTACTTTGAATTCGGCTTGCTTTCTCCCCTGCGGCCCTTGTGTTTGTTAACTGTGTATTTGCTGTGCTACTTTGGGGAACTTGTGGAGCGCTTTGTTTTAATCCGGTTCTTCTCTCCAGATAATCCGGATTATTGCTTCAGTTAACTCTTTTGAACCAAGACTGGTTTCTGCTTTTGAGTTTGGCCAGAGACACTGATTTAAGTATCTCTGAGGTCTTTTTCTTTGCTTAATAAACTTTACTTTGAAACTGGTTCTGAGTCTGGCCCTTTAAGGTGTCTGTGTCCTGACATCCACCCTAATCCAAACTAAGCCTGGTTCATATATTGTTGTTGTTGTTGTTTGTGCTTATGTTTATGTTTATTTATACTCTGCTTTATCTTTCCTGAAGGAGACTCAGGGCCTTTCGACACTGCCATATAATCCAGAATATCAAGGCAGATAGTCCACATTATCGGCATTGAACTGGATTATCTGAGTCTACACTGCCGTATAATCCAGTGCAGAACAGATAATCTCAATTTTATTCAGCTGTGTAGAAGGGGCCTCAAAGCGCCTTACATTAAAAGTAAAGCGTAAAAGTAAGGTCACGTCCGACTCTTGGGAGTCCTGCTCATCTCCATTTCTAAGGCAAAGAGCCGGCATTGTCCGTAGACACCTCCAAGGTCATGTGGCCACATGACTGCATGGAGCTCTGTTACCTTCCAGCAGAAGCAGTACCTATTCATCTACTCATATTTGCAGGTAAAGATTCCCCCTGACATTAAGTCTGGTCGTGTTTGACTCTGGGGGTTGCTGCACATCTCCATTTCTAAGGCACAGAGCTGGCGTTGTCCATAGACACCTCCAAGGTCATGTGGCCACATGACTGTATGGAGCTCTGTTACCTTCCAGCAAAAGCAGTACCTATTCATCTACTCATATTTGCAGGTAAAGATTTCCCCTGACATTAAGTCTAGTTGTGTTTGACTCTGGGGGTTGCTGCGCATCTCCATTTCTAAGGCAAAGAGCCGGCGTTGTCCGTAGACAMCTCCAAGGTCATGTGGCCACATGACTGCATGGAGCTCTGTTACCTTCCAGCAAMAGCAGTACCTATTCATCTACTCATATTTGCAGGTAAAGATTCCCCCTGACATTAAGTCTAGTTGTGTTTGACTCTGGGGGTTGCTGCGCATCTCCATTTCTAAGGCAAAGAGCCGGCATTGTCCATAGACGCCTCCAAGGTCATGTGGCCTTTTAACAGAAGCGGTACCTACTCACATTTGCATGTTTTCAAACTGCCAGGTTGGCAGAAGCTGGGGATAACAGCGGGAGCTCACTCAGCTAAACATATTTATTGTACACTAGCCGCCTTCTGCCACACGTTGCTGTGGCCCAGTCTATGTATATGTGTTTTGTGTGTGTATATATTTGTGTATATGAGTATATATGTGGTTTTGCACATGTGTTGTAATGTATATTATATTTTTTGGATTTTTAAGTCCCTTCCGCTGTGTTTTTCAGTGTTTATATGAGTGATGGTCACTCGTTGGCCTGATAGAGACCTGGCTATTTGAGAAGGCATTTAACTGAGTGCTACATTAACTGGTAATGACAACTGGAACGGAATATGGATTACGAGATTGGTTATGATTCTATGATGTGACGGAGCGGATTATTTAGTGTAATTTAGATTAGTGTGTATTACTGATATGTTGATTTCTTGTTTTGCTCTATTGTAAACTGTTTTTATATGTTGTACACCGCCGCGAGTCGCCCTAGGGCTGAGAGCGGCGGTCAACAAATGCAGCAAATAAATAAATAAATAAAATAAATAGGTGTCTTGTGTCCAAATTTGGTGTCAATTCATCCAGTGGTTTTTGAGTTATGTTAATCCCACAAACAAACATTACATTTTTATTTATATAGAACTAGCCGTCCCCTGCCAAGCGTTGCTGTGGCCCTCATGGGCGTTCTGTGTGGGAGGTTTGGCCCAGTTCTATCATTGGTGGGGTTCAGAATGCTCTGTGATTGTAGGTGAACTATAAATCCCAGCAACTACAACTCCCAAATGTCAAGATTCTATTTTCCCCAAACTCCACCAGTGGTCACATTTGGGCATATTGAGTATTTGTGTAGAGTTTGGTCCAGATCCATCATTGTTTGAGTCCACAGTGATCTCTGGATGTAGGTGAACTACAACTCCAAAACCAAAGGACACTGCCCACAAACCCTTCCAGTATTTTCTGTTGGTCATGGGAGAACTGTGTGCCAAGTTTGGTCCAATTCTATTGTCAGTGTGATTCAGAATGCTCTTTGATTTTAGGTGAACTATAAATCCCAGCAGCTACAACTCCCAAATGTCAAAGTCTATTTCCCCCAAACTCCATCTGTGTTCATATTTACTCATATTGAGTGCTTGTATCAAGTTTGGTCCAGCTCCATCATTGTTTGAGTTCACAGTGATCTCTAGATGTAGGTGAACTACAACTCCCAAACTCAAGATCAATGCCCACCAAAGCCTTGCAGTATTTTCTGTTGGTCATGGGAGTTCTGTGCGCCAAGTTTGGTACAATTCCATTGTTGATGGAGTTCAGAATGCTCTTTGATTGTAGGTGAACTATAAATCCCTGCAACCACAACTCCCAAATGACAAAATCATAATTTTTTGAGTGATGGTCACTCCTCGTGTTGTGAGACGTTTTGTTGCCAAATTTGGTGTAATATCATTCATTGGTTCTTTGGTTTTTAAGGTACTCATTATGCACAGAGCATTTTTATATAGATAGATACATGCTCCAACCAGCTCATGGTTGTGACGGCGTGTTCCTGAAAACCAAGTAAATAAACAATTCGATATTTCAGACTCAGGGCTGAGAAAAGGAAAGGTACAGAATTGCTCAGAAATCATATATAAAAACCTGCGGGTTGCTCCTTGGCCTTTCAGAAGCTAATATGAATGCCGAGAGAGATGTATTACACCTGCATTACCTCCAGCTGGTTTCCTAAACACAGCCTTGTTGTAATATAAATGAGCAGAGTAAACAAACACCGGCAAACTGCAGAGTGACTGAAAGAGATCCAAACAGAGGTGGATGGGTTTGCCACCTGCACACAAAAGCATCCACTTCAATGCCATTGATGGAATATTGCATATACCAGGCATGGGCAAACTTGGGCTGGTATATGCAATGCTGGGAGTTGGCGTCCAAACACCTGGAAGGCCCAGGTTTGCCCATGCCTGGTATATACTAATGCTTGTTGACGGGAAGCCTCCTAGCGGAGTGGAAATCATCTATCGGACAGATGGCAAGCTGTTTAACCTCAGCAGACTGAAAGCCAAAACCAAGGTTACAACAACATCTGTTATAGAACTCCAGTATGCTGATGACAACGTCATCTGTGCGCATTCAGAAGATCTACAAGCCACTCTAAACACCTTTGCAGAAGCATACGAGAAGCTCGGCCTGTCATTGAACATCGAGAAAACCAAAGTGCTCTTCCAGCAGTCACCAGCCAATCCCTCTCCAATGCCAGAAATACAGCTTAATGGTGTAACATTAGAAAATGTTGACCATTTCCGCTACCTTGGCAGCCACCTCTCCACCAAAGTCAACATCGACACCGAAATACAACACCGCCTGAGCTCTGCGAGTGCAGCATTTTTCCGAATGAAGCGGAGAGTGTTTGAGGACCGGGACATCCGTAGGGATACCAAGGTGCTTGTCTATAAAGCTATTGTCCTCCCAACCCTGCTATATGCCTGCGAAACGTGGACTGTCTACAGACGTCACATGCAACTCCTGGAACGATTCCATCAGCGCTGCCTCCGGAAAATCCTGCAAATCTCTTGGGAAGACAAGCGGACAAACGTCAGGTGCTGGAAGAAGCAAAGACCACCAGCATTGAAGTGATGGTCCTCCACCATCAACTCCCGCTGGACCGCCACGTTGTCCAGATGCCCGACCACTGTCTCCCAAAGCAGTTGCTCTACTCTGAACTCAAGAACGGAAAACGAAACGTTGGTGGACAGGAAAAGAGATTTAAAGATGGCCTCAAAGCCAACCTTAAAAACTCTGGCATAGACACTGAGAACTGGGAAGCCCTGGCCCTTGACCGCTCCAGCTGGAGGTCAGCTGTGACCAGCAGTGCTGCAGAATTCGAGGAGGCACGAGTGGAGGGTGAAAGAGAGAAACGTGCCAGGAGGAAGGCGCGTCAAGCCAACCCCGACCGGGACCGCCTTCCACCTGGAAACCAATGCCTTCACTGTGGGAGAAGATGTGGGTCAAGAATAGGGCTCCACAGCCACCTACAAACCCACAAAAATAGTCATCAAGGAAGAGCATCTTACTCGTCCAACGAGGGATCGCCTAAGTAAGTAAGTACTAATGCTTAAGCTGAGCTCTTGTATAAATCAAGGGCTGATTTGGGGACTGGAATTATGGATTCTGTTATCAGCTATTGTATGTCAGCCTGTGATTGTGCCTGATGTTCATGTTGATGTTCATGATGGGAAGGATGTTCAAGTTGATGTTCATGCTGAGAATGGGGATGATGTTCCTGATGATGGGCCTGGGGATGAGGGTTTGCTTCGGCCTGAGTTAAGTTCAGAAGAGAGGCCTGAACTGTCTCAAGAAGATTCACAAGGCTACATTCCTGGGAGGGACCCTTTGCTGCTTTTGTCAGAACAACTGTCTGAACATGATTTGCAGAGGTAATTTTCAATGGTAAGCAAACAGTATTTTGGGTTGATGTAGGTTTTTTTCGGGCTGTATGGCCATGGTCTAGAGGCATTCTCTCCTGACGTTTCGCCTGCATCTATGGCAAGCATCCTCAGAGGTAGTGAGGTCCTCGCTACCTCTGAGGATGCTTGCCACAGATGCAGGCGAAACGTCAGGAGAGAATGCCTCTAGAACATGGCCATATAGCCCGAAAAAAAACCTACAACAACCCAGTGATTCCGGCCATGAAAGCCTTCGACAATACATCAATTTTTGCCCCCCCCCCCCCCAACCAATCACTGATATATATTTTCTGTTCGTCGTGAGAGTTCTGTGTGCCATATTTGGTTCAATTCCATCATTGGTGGAGTTCAGAATGCTCTTTGATTGTAGGTGAACTATATATCCCAGTAACTACAACTCGCATATTCCAAGGTCTATTCCCACCACCCCCACCCCCCGCCCAAGAGCGCCTCAAGAGTGCCCCAAGAGTGCCCCTGGGCAAAATCAACTATACTGCAAATGCTTACTTTTCGTAATGGGTTGAAATTGTCAAAGGCTTTCATGGCCGGAATCACTGGGTTGTTGTAGGTTTTTTCGGGCTATATGGCCATGTTCTAGAGGCATTTCTCCTGACGTTTCGCCTGCATCTATGGCAAGCATCCTCAGAGGTAGTGAGGTCTGTTGGAACTTGGAAAAAGGGTTTATATATCTGTGGGATGACCAGGGTGGGACAAAGGACTCTTGTCCGCTGGAGCTAGGTGTGAATGTTTCAACTGACCACCTTGATGAACCAACCTGGACACAGCATATTATTTGAGAACACAGAAATGCTGGACCACTCTCACAACCACCATGTCAGACTACACAGAGAAGCCATTGAAATCCACAAGCATATGGACAATTTCAACAGAAAGGAGGAAACCATGAAAATGAACAAAATCTGGTTACCAGTGTTAAAAAACTCTAACTCTCTCATGAATCATTATAAAGCTTTTCCAGATCCTAAAACTTTACCTTCACACCACATAAAGTTTGGTTATCTCTCTTTTGCTTTGGCCAATCGATCATCTCAGTCTCTGAAGACTTGGCCTTTGTTTAGTTTACATTATCTTGGGTTGTTGTAGTTTTTTCGGGCCATATGGCCACATTCTAGAGGCATTCCTCCTGACGTTTCGCCTGCATCTATGGCAAGCATCCTCAGAGGTTGTGAGGTCTGTTGGAACGAGGGTTTATATATCTGTGAAATGACCAGGGTGGGGCAAAGGACTCTTGTCTTCTGGAGCTAGGTGTGAATGTTTCAACTGACCACCTTGATTAGCATTTGATGGCCTGGAAGTGCCTGGAGCAATCTTTTGTTGAGAGGTGATTAGATGTCCTTGTTTGTTTCCTCCCTGTTATTGTGCTGTTGTAATTTTAGAGATCTTGTTTTCCTTTGAAGCTTTTGGACTGTTTCATTTAATTTGGCTACAGCAAAAGAGAGAAAACAAACCTTTATCTGGTGGGAAGGTCAGGAAAAATGCTTTCCTTTCAGTTTTGGGATGTGGAAAAGCTTTATAATGATTTATGGGAGAGAGCTGCCTCAGTCGGGTCAACGTGGTTATTTTATCCATCTTGCTTTCAAGTGCTTTGAGTTTCATGTACCAAGTTTTTGCCAAGCTTAAAATTTGTCTATGAAATTTTCCTGCTGTCTTGTATAACAGATTAAAGTGCCTAGTTTCATGGATTTTATGTACTCATGGATCTTGTTTTCCTCTGAAGCTTATAGACTATTTTATATATTAGATTTTTTTTCCTGTTTTTGCTATTTTTTACTGCTTTGCCTATTTATATTCTTCAATAAACTGCTTGTTGATTTTACCAAGGTGGTTTGGTGTTTACGGTCACAGGTTTTCCTGATCAGGTGTACGACAGGAGCCATGGATAAGATATATACATATACATCGAGAAAAGTCTGAGGATCAAAATTACGAGTTGTGAAATAATAATAATAATAATAATAATAATAATAATAATAATAATAATGTAACATGATATAATTTTTCAATGAATATCCCATTGAGTCTCAACCAAGTTTGTGGCAGCAACAGAAAGCAAAATTTCTGGAGCAGAACAACTACTTTCGTAGTAAGGACCAAGTAAGAAATCACAGTTTCAAACCAACTCACCCGTTCCAGGGACTTGAGGAGGTTCTGCCTCTCTTTTAGCTTTTGGATACTGATCACGATTTTGTGCCTTGCGCCTTTGGTAACGTTCTGCAATAGCAATACAAAAATCAACATAGATATCAATACAATATTATAAACATTTTAGATGCAAAGAACACCCCCCCCCCCCAATTAAAATGATCCACAAGCCAGGTAACTTAATGAGACAAAACCACACAACACTTTGGAAGCCTGTCCTGTGTATTTAATATGTATTTTATAGCAAAGCATGTTAATATGTGTGTTTATAGAATTTTTTGCAAAGTATGTGTGTTTTGACTGTGCTGTGAGATGTTGCGAGCCATGAGGAGAGAAATAAAATTATTATTACTGGGTTGCTGTGAGTTTTCTGGGCTGTCTGGCCATGCTCCAGAAGCATTCTCTCCTGATGTTTCACCTACATCTATCGGAACCCCCCGGTGGCGCAGTGGGTTAAACCCCTGTGCCGGTAGGACTGAAGACCGACAGGTCGCAGGTTCGAATCTGGGGAGAGTGTGGATGAGCTCCCACTGTCAGGTCCAGCTCCTCATGCGGGGACATGAGAGAAGCCTCCCACAAGGATGATAAAACATCAAAAAACATCCGGGCGTCCCCTGGGCAACATCCTTGCAGATGGCCAATTCTATCACACCAGAAGCGACTTGCAGTTTCTGACACACACACAAAAACCTACACCTATGGCAGGCATCCTCAGAGGTTGAGGTGTCTGTTGCAAACTAAACAAATTAGGTTTATATATCAGTAAATGGGTGCAACTAGCTTTGTGTTTTAGAATAAGTTACATTTCAGCGGGGGTATTCTGGGAGTAGCTGTCCAGAAGAGTTACTTTTCCAAATTCTGTCTTCTATGGCCAAAGCAACCCTTAGCAGTTAGCATTAACTCACTTGAGCCTCGAGCTGACACTCGGTGAGGGCCATCATTTCGTCGTAGGTCATCTGGGAGAAAAGGGCAGCGTATTTGTGGAGGCGCAGACTTTTGAGCCAGGCAGGAACATCTACAAGTGGGAGCAACAAAAAAGAACATCAAAATTATTATCCTCTCTGATCCTGGAAGCTAAGCAAGGTCAGCCCTGGTTAGTACTTCGATGGGAAACCGCCAATGAATCCGAGGTGCTGTAGGCTCTCTTTGAAAGGAAAGATCTGGCAAAAACACCTCTGAGGATCTCTTGCCTAAGAACCAGCTATGAAATCATAAAAGACCAATAGATTATAGTGTTGTGAGAGCTGTTCAGCAGTGGAACTCTCTGCCCCAGAGTGTGGTGGAGGCTCCTTCTTTGGAAGCTTTTAAACAGGTTGGATGGCCATCTGTCAGGGGTGCTTTGAATGCAATTTTCCTGCTTTTTGGCAGAATGGGGTTGGACTGGATGGCCCATGAGGTCTCTTCCAACTCTAGGATTCTAATAGAGCAAAATAATAAACGTAATAAAAAGAATAATAATAACACAGAAAAATAATAAATAACCTTGACTTGACTATAAGCCGAGGGGGACTTTTTCAGCCTAATAAAGGGCTGAAAAACTAGGCTTATACTTGAGTATATAAAGTACTTTCTGATGCACAAAAGTTCCTAACTACTCTCAAATACACACAGAACATCGTTTCGAGCATTGCAAGCCTGGCCTGTCTATTCCCCCACTTTAGTATTTTTTAATTTTATGATCACAACAGTAAACTATGTAAAACAACTGCCTCATATGAATAAATGACTTCCTGGCTGTCCTACTAAATAAAGTTCTGGGTATTTTCATGCCAAAGTACCGTATGTGTCAATGGTGGGCCTTGATCCAAGGAGCTCTTGGATGATGAGGCTCTGGAAGCAAAACTCAGCTGAACCAACCTTTGGAAGGCAAGAGCAAGGACTTTTTGAAAAATTATCTGTTCCTGGTTTGAAAGTGTTGTTTCCTGTTTAATTGTGCAGTACTTAATGTATTGTCGAAGGCTTTCATGGCCGGACTCACTGGGTTGTTGTAGGTTTTTTCGGGCTATATGGCCATGCTCTAGAGGCATTCTCTCCTGATGTTTCGCCTGCATCTATGGCAATACCACTGAGGATACTACTTCTGAGGATGCTTGCCATAGATGCAGGTGAAACATCAGGAGAAAATGCCTCTAGAACATGGCCATATAGCCCGAAAAAACCTACAACAACCCTGTGCAGTACTTACTTTGAAAGTAGTTGTTCTACTCCAGAAACTTTGTTTTTGTGGCTGCCACAAACTACGTTGAATTGGTTGAGACTTGATGAGATATTCATTGAAAAAATAGAGCGTCATTTGTTGCAGGATGTCCCACAAAAAACAACGTTTTTGCAGCTTAATAAACCTTTTCCATGTTTTTATGGTAGAATCAATTAGGAAATGGCATTTATAACCCAGGAACAAAAATTGTGTCACGTGGCACAGTGGGATAAACTACTGAGCTGTTAAACTTGTTGACCGAAAGATCGCAGGTCCGAATCCGGGGAGTGGTGTGAGTTTCCACTGTCAGCCCCAGCTTCTGCCAACCTAGCAGTTCGAAATATGCAAATGTGAGTAGATCAATAGGTTGATCTACTCACATTTGCATGGAGCGGCATTACCTTCCAGCGGGAAGGTAATGCCGCTCCATGCAATCATGCTGGCCACATGACCTTGGAGGTGTCTACGGACAACGCTGGCTCTTTGGCTTAGAAATTGAGATGAGCACCAACCCCCAGAGTCGGACACGACTGGACTTAACGTCAAGGGAAAACCATTACCTTTACCTTAGTGTAACTGAGTCAGAAATCATGAGCTATGGCCATCTAGTAGTCCAAGCTGCAGCTTAAATACTGAAAAACGTTGGAAAATGTCCCAGTGCTTTATTTCTGGCGTAAAGTAAGCATTACAAATTATTTGACGTAGTTAGCTTGATTAACTTCATTTTGACAACTGTTGGCATGCATTGTTTTGCTAAACTGCCATGTGTACTATGCTAGAAATGCTGCAATGGCAATACAATGTGCTGTTATGAGAACATCCACCTAAACAACAAACAAGCTCTATTTCTGGGTTGCTTGTAGGTTTTTTCGGGCTATATGGCCATGTTCTAGAGGCATTCTCTCCTGACGTTTCGCCAGCATCTATGGCAAGCATCCTCAGAGGTAGTGAGGTCTGTTGAAACCAGGAAAATGGGTTTATATATCTGTGGAATGACCAGGGTGGGACAAAGGACTCTTGTCTGCTGGAGCTAGGTGTGAATGTTTCAACTGACCACCTTGATTAGCATTTGATGGTCTGGCAGTGCCTGGGGCAATCTTTTGTTGAGAGGTGATTGGATGCTTGCCATAGATGCAGGCAAAACGTCAGGAGAGAATGCCTCTAGAACATGGCCATACAGCCCAAAAAAAACCTACAACAACCCAGTGATTCCGGCCATAAAAGCCTTCGACAATACAAGCTCTATTTCTATTTTGTGCTGCTCATGTATATCTCAGAAAAGGAACAGCATGGCATGTATGTAGTAGCTATGGTTTATGCTTCTCTGCCTTTGTCTAACTCTAAAGTGCTATAAGAAATGGTTGCTTACCTGTAACCTTGTTTCTTTGAGTGGACATCTGTGAAATTCTCACATAAGTGAGACTTTCTCAGAGACCACAAAGAAGAGTTCATCCCCCTCCCTCCTGACTTTCCAAAACAAAAGGTAAAAACTTGGCTCTTTGAGCAAGCTTTTGAGAATGCAGCGGAACAGATAACATGAAATAATGAATGATGAACATGGAATGGCCAGACAATGTTAATGGAAAACGATTTTAACAAGATGACATCGGTGACTACATGTTTTAATGGTTTTAATATATGTTTTTATATTGTTATGTTGACTATTTTTAATCGCACTTTTATGAATGCATGGCATCAAATTGTACCAATTTGTAACCCGCCTTGAGTCGCCGTATGGTTGAGAAAGGCGGGCTATAAATGTCGTAAATAAATAAACAAAATAAGGAGGAGTGGTCGCTTACCTGGATCTGTATTTTTTTGAGTGGTCATCTGTGAAATTCGCAGATAAGTGCGACTTTCACAGAGACCACGAAGAAGAAAATAAAGAAGCTTGGAATACATTTTCTCTATCTCAGCCAATGCTGTGAGTGAGTCTGACAAAGTTATTGTTGTGTTGTTGAAGGCTTTAATGGCCAGAATCACTGGGTTGCTGTAAGTTTTTCGGGCTGTATGACCATGTTCCATGGCCATGCGCCTATGGGTGAAACATCAGGAGAGAATGCTTCTGGAACATACAACCCAAAAAAATTACAGCAACTCAAAGTTATTGTTGTTGTCTGCTGCCTTCTGCTCAGTTTCATGGCTCATCCCAGCTTCATCTTCCGCTGTGGGGCTGATATAGTCAGTATAATATATTCCTTATTTACACACTTATTATGCTCGAGCTTCCATTTATCCACAACTATCTAGGCTGTCACCACAGAATCACAATGGAGGACCTGCACATCTACGCTGACCACTAAAATCAGTTTCAAACCTGTGCTGAAGAAAGTGGTTTCACTGTGCAGATTTCCATAGGGTTTTCTTTCTATTACATCGGGAATCCAGGAACCAGTTTGAGGCCCAGATTGTGATGACACAAAACCACAGAGCACTGTGGTTTCTTTTGTGCACTTTCCTGGGAGTTTGTTATCTAGCCAACACAGTTTTGTGGCTTTGACTATTTGCATATTTAATTAAAATGTTATTATATATATAATGTGCGGTGGTGGTGGGAGTGTGGAGGGATGGGTGCGTTGTATTGTGATGTGTGCTGGGGAAAGCATGTAATTTCATTGTGCAATAGTACAATAACAATATAGCTATTCTATTCTATGTTGTCTCTGGAAATCTCTAGAGATTGAGCATAGATGGGGCCCTAGAGAAGTATTCTCCCTAGGAATGTCTAGGTCCTACTCGCTGTACGACCTAAAGATTTCCAGAGATAATATTTGAATCAAAACCTCTAATCAAAACCACAGAATTCAAACCCAGAAATGTAGATGGTTTGAAATTACAAAGAAATTAACAACAGAAATAGTTAGCGGTTTTTGACATAAGCTGAGCTTCTTTCAAAAGCGGATAACTTTATCCATAATGATTATTACAAAGGCTGGGTGGCCATCTGTTGGGGGTGCTTTGATTGTGCTTTTCCTGCATGGCAGAAGGGGATTGAGCTGTGCGAATTACTCTCCATCCATCTGCCACTGATCTAGCCCATGCCTGATACACACACACACACACATCTATATATATAAAAATGCAATGTTCGTTTGTGGGATTAACATAACTCAAAAACCACTGGACAAATTGACACCAAATTTGGACACAAGACACCTAACAACCCCAATGAGTGACCATCATTCATAAAAACACTGAAAAACACAGTAGAAGAGACTTCAGAAGCCAAAAATTACATTGCAACGCATGCACAAAACCACATATATATACACAAACGCACATCTATACTAACATATATGCATGTACACACACAAAACACATACACAGAAAGGAGGGAGGAAGGAGAGAAGGATGGAGAGAAGGAAAGAAGGAAGGGTAGACAAGGAAGGTGAGAAAGAAGGGAAGAAAGAAAGAGGAGGAAGGAGGGAGAGAAGGAGGGAAGGAGATAAGGGAAGAAAGAAGGGTAGAGAAGGAAGGAAGGAGAGAAAGAGGGGAGAAAGAGGGAAAGAAGGAGGGAAGGAGATAAAGAAGGAAAGAAAGATAGAGAAGTAAGGAGGGAGAGAAAGAGGGAAAGAAGGAGGAAAGGAGATAAAGAAGGAAAGAAAGAAGGGTAGAGAAGGAAGGAAGGAGAGAAAGAGGGGGAGAAAGAGGGAAAGAAGGAGGGAAGGAGAAAGAAGGAAAGAAAGAAAGTAGAGAAGGAAGGAAGGAGAGAAAAGAGGGAAAGAAGGAGGGAAGGAGATAAAGAAGGAAAGAAAGATAGAGAAGTAAGGAGGGAGAGAAAGAGGGAAAGAAGGAGGAAAGGAGATAAAGAAGGAAAGAAAGAAGGGTAGAGAAGGAAGGAAGGAGAGAAAGAGGGGGAGAAAGAGGGAAAGAAGGAGGGAAGGAGATAAAGAAGGAAAGAAAGAAAGATAGAGAAGGAGGGAGAGAAAGAGGGAAAGAAGGAGGGAAGGAGATAAAGAAGGAAAGAAAGAAGGGTAGAGAAGGAAGGAAGGAGAGAAGGAGGGAGAGAATGAAATAAGTGAAATAGGGAAGGAAGGAGAGAAGGAACGAAAGAGAGAAAGAGGGAGAGAAGGAAGGAAGGAAAGAGACAAGGAACCAAAGAGCAAAGGACGCGAGAAAAGAAACAGGTAGAGAAGGAAGGAGAAGAAGGAAAGAAAAAAGGGAAGGAAGGAGAGAGAGAAAGAAGGAGAGAAAGAGGGAGGGAAGGTTGGCCACAGCAATGTGTGGCGGGTACAGCTAGTTATATATAAACGTGGCAGGAAAAACAAAATGCAAAGAGACAGAATGGGGGACAATGCTTGGCTTGAGAGCAGTACGTGTGAAAAAGATCTTAGAGTCCTCGTGGACAACAAGTTAAACATGAGCCAACAATAGGATGTGGCGGCAAAAAAAGCCAATGGGATTTTGGCCTGCATCAATAGGAGCATAGTGTCTAGATCTAGGGAAGTCATGCTCCCCATGCTCTATTCTGCTTTGGTTAGACCACACCTGGAATATTGTGTCCAATTCTGGGCACCACAATTCAAGAGAGATATTGACAAGCTGGAATGTGTCCAGAGGAGGGCGACTAAAATGATCAAGGTCTGGAGAACAAGCCCTATGAGGAGCGGCTTAAGGAGCTGGGCATGTTTAGCCTGAAGAAGAGAAGGCTGAGAGGAGATATGATAGCCATGGATAAATATGTGAGAGGAAGCCACAGGGAGGAGGGAGCAAGCTTGTTTTCTGCTTCCCTGGAGACTAGGACGCGGAACAATGGCTTCAAACTACAAGAAAGGAGATTCCATCTGAACATGGGGAAGAACTTCCTGACTGTGAGAGCCGTTCAGCAGTGGAACTCTCTGCCCGGAGTGTGGTGGAGGCTCCTTCTTTGGAAGCTTTTAAACAGAGGCTGGATGGCCATCTGTCAGGGGTGATTTGAATGCAATATTCCTGCTTCTTGGCAGAATGGGGTTGGACTGGATGGCCCATGAGGTCTCTTCCAACTCTTTGATTCTATGATTCTATGAAAGAGGGAGGGAAGGTTGGCCACAGCAACGTGGGGCGGGTACAGCTAGTTATATATAAACATGTCTTGGGGCTCCATGAGAAACTTTTGCTTCAAAAAGGTATCCACAGCTGGAAAAGTTTGAGAACCCCAGATCGAGACACTATTCTTCCATTGATGCATCCTAGAATAGCATCATGCACCAGAGTCCCACTTATGCATGCGTCAGACAGCCACAGGATGTCCTAGTGAACTCGTATGTGCGCTATTGAACAAGTATGAAGAAGAGGAAGAGAAGAAGAGGAGGAGGAAGACGGGAGAGCAGGGCACATCTTTCCACTCACCTTTCATTCCACTCCCTTCTTCCTGGAATGTGTTACGGGCGGAGGTCTGGTCTTCTAAGTGCTCGCTCCCACCGCTTCCCGAGGAGGCGATGCTGCTTTGAGGAGACAGGGGGGCATGGTCGGAGGGGAGGCTGGGCGGTCCTCTCGCTCGCAAGTCCTCATGAGACATCCATCCGTGCCCAAGAGGCTGGTTGGGGACGGTCATGGGCGGGGTAAGGGACACAGACCGCTTCAAGGGGCTGTGGTGGGTCTGGCTCGAGAGAACTGGAACAACAAAGGTGGGACACAACAATTATATTAAAAACAAGGCATCCCCTCACCCTCTGCTTCCTAAACGCTTGGCAGGTGGCTGCATCTATGGCAGTGTTTCCCAACCTTCCTAATGCCACGACCCCTTAACACAGTTCCTCATGTTGTGGTGACCCTCAACCACAAAATTATTTTTGTTGCTACTTCATAACTGTAATTTTGCTACTGTTATGAATCATAATGTAAATATCTGATATGCCAAGGTAGCCAAGGCAGCCACCTCTCCACCAAAGTCAACATCGACACCGAAATACAACACCGCCTGAGCTCTGCGAGTGCAGCATTTTTCCGAATGAAACGGAGAGTGTTTGAGGACCGGGACATCCGTAGGGATACCAAGGTGCTTGTCTATAAAGCCACTGTCCTCCCAACCCTGCTATATGCCTGCGAAACGTGGACTGTCTACAGACGTCACATGCAACTCCTGGAAAGATTCCATCAGCGCTGCCTCTGGAAAATCCTGCAAATCTCTTGGGAAGACAGGCAGACAAACGTTAGCATGCTGGAAGAAACAAAGACCACCAGCATCTCCGCCATCAACTCCGCTGGACCAGCCACGTTGTCCGGATGCCCGACCACCATCTCCCAAAGCAGTTGCTCTACTCCAAACTCAAGAACGGAAAACGGAAAGTTGGTGGGCAGGAAAAGAGATTTAAAGACGCGCTCAAAGCCAACCTTAAAAACTCTGGCATAGACACTGAGAACTGGGAAGCCCTGGCCCTTGAGCGCTCCAGCTGGAGGTCAGCTGTGACCAGCAGTGCTGCAGAATTTGAAGAGGCACAAATGGAGGGTTAAAGAGAGAAACGTGCCAAGAGGAAGGCGCGTCAAGCCAACCCCGACCGAGATCGCCTCCCACTTGGAAACCAATGCCCTCACTGCGGAAGAAGATGCCGATCAAAAATAGGGCTCCACAGTCACCTACAAACCCACCCCCAGGACACCGAACTTGGAGGACCATCATCCTCGGACTACGAGGGATCGCCTAAGTAAAGTAAGTAAGCATCTGATATGCAGGATATATTTACATTCACTGGACCACATTTGGCACAAATACTTGATATGCCCAAATTTGAATACTGGTGGGGTTGGGGGCATTGATTTTGTCATTTGGGATTTAAAGTTCACTTACAATCAGAGAGCACCCTGAACTCCACCAATGATGAAATTGAACCAAACCTGGCACACAGAACTCCCATGCTTTCAACAATACATAGAACTCCCATGACCAACAAAAAATACTCGATGGGTTTGGTGGACATTGACCTTGAGTTTGGGAATTATAGTTCACCCACATCCAGAGAGCACTGTGGACTCAAACAATGATGGATATGGACCAAACTTGGCAGGGATAGTCAATATGCCCAAATTTGAACACTGGTGGAGTTTGGGGAAAATAGACCTTGACGTTTGGGAGTTGTCGTTGCTGGGATTTATAGTTCACCATCATTGTTTGAGTCCACATCAAAAAAATTCCAATCAAACACTCTTCTGCCATGTACGAAAGGGACAATCTAAACACTCCTGACAGATGGCCTTCCAGCTTCTGTTCAAAAACATCCAGAGAATGAGACTGCATTGAACTCCCAGGTAGCATTTTCCAAGAAGTTTTTTTCCCCTAACAGTGAAGTGGAATCTGTTTTCCTGCAATGTAAAACCACTGCTTTGTGTCCTAGTCTCCAGAGTAGCAGAAAACAAGCCTTGCCCATTCCTCCTCAACGTGACCTCCTTTCAAATGTCTCTCATGTCCCCTCTTGACCTTTTCTTCTCCAAGCTAGATATCCCCAGCTGCCTTTGGAGGATGAGCCACTTTGGGTCTCTTTTTAGAGAGGAAAAAGCACAACAATAACAACAACAACAATGGATCAGTTGGGTTAATGTTGGACTAGTATTTGGACATTAAGGCTATACCACTTTGGGTTTTGTCCACTGTATTATTGAGCGATGATGGCTTAAATGATGCCAAGGCACCACCACTATAGGGCAGAGAATGCTTAAGACCTTGTCAAACTACAGCTCCCAGGATTCCATTGAGCCATGGCAGTTAAAGTGGTGTCAAACTACATTAATTCTACAGTATAGATGCGTTCTCAAAAGTGTACCAAACTATTCCTGCTGCTGGATAGAAGATGCCTCTGCGACGCACATCCTTCCACATTTTCCCTACTTCCAACCACAGTCAAATTAAGTAAATTCTAAGAATGATACTCCACTGTGTATGTTTCAAGCACTGGCAATGAGTTGTGTTGCTTGTAAACAAGCCGTAGCGCTAATTTTCACAGAATTGGGCAAGTACCATTACAAACAACAACAACAGCTCCCCAAATCCCATTATCATTTCAGCGCTGTGGCTGCCAACTGGTGAGGAGCGCACGATTGCTCAGTTTCTTTCTGTTTTCCTAACAGCTCTTCTTTGGATGTGATATAAGGGACAACAGCTACCAATGTGAGAAGCGACTGTTTTTTTGAATGGCAATCTGCTTACCGTTCTCTGCAGGAGATAAATAAGATATCAAAACAGGAGGCTAAAACCGTACCCAAAACACCAAGTGGACCGTCTGTCTCGTCTCCTCAGAGAGCCAATCACTAGGCAGGCAAAGCGATCGCCTTCGATGACAATATTCCAACTAGGTACAAACCCACTGCCAATAATTATAAATTGGGCAGACAACTGTTTTCAATTGCTAAAAATAATTAAGAGGGATAACGCGGATCAAAACTGCAGATGGCCAAGTCCATGTTGGAAAGATACATGTGTGAAAGAAGCGTGGATGCCATGTTGGCGCGTGAATATCTGAAAATATAAGCCAAGTTGGTTCCATCAATTAAAAGCAAAATCTAGAAATAATAAATTTCCATATTATTCTGGGCTTCTATTATTATTATTATTATTATTATTATTATTATTATTATTATTATTATTGACACAAAAGCACAGTATGTCACAGCAAACGAGATCTATATGCTCGATTTCGTATCACAAAATCACAAGTCGAACACTTCCCAAGTGTCTAGGACTGTGTGATGTATTTTCGGATGATGCGCGCAGATCCAAGTCAGATGGCCTTTTGCAGTTGACAGATCATGATTTTCATAGAATCATAGAATCAAAGAGTTGGAAGAGACCTCATGGGCCATCCAGTCCAACCCCATTCTGCCAAGAAGCAGGAATATTGCATTCAAATCACCCCTGACAGATGGCCATCCAGCCCCTGTTTAAAAGCTTCCAAAGAAGGAGCCTCCACCACACTCTGGGGCAGAGAGTTTGTCGATGTTTATTGTTTGTCGATGTTTATTTTGTCAATGTTTATTGTTTCCAAATGCCGGCTGAGATCTTTTGGCACGACACCCAGTGCGCCATTGACCACTGGGACCACCTGTACTGGGTGATGCCAGAGCCTTTGCAGTTCGATTTTGGAGTCGTGATAGCGGCTGAGTTTTTCCTGTTGTTTTTCCTCAATGCGACTGTCACCTTGAATGCCGACATCAATAATCCAGACTTTTTTCTTTTCCACAATCGTGATGTCTGGTGTATTGTGTTCCTGTTCCGTCTCCCAGGAGCCTGATTTGCCTCACTTTAAAGTTGCTTGAGGTTGCTTCCTCTTGCATTTTCTCCCAGGGCTGCTGCATCTTTGCAAGAGTCCTAAAAGTTAATAGTATCAGAGTCTGTAGGCCTCTTTGCAACCATTGGCTTACAGAGCAGCTCTTTGAGTTTAGGGACCGCCTTTTCTCCCAGGGAAAGATCTCCATTTTAGATTCTCCCCCTGCCTTTTCAGTTTGAGGAAAGACTTCAGGCGTGCTGATGGCTAAGCAGCTAGCTCTGGGAGAACCATTGCAAAAACTATATATATACACCATAGATAAGTATTAAGCTAAACTGAGATAGTATATTGTGTTTTGAGCTATTTTTGAAATATTATAGATAGATAAGCTTAGTTGAGAAGATTTAGTTATATAGTTATAGAGAGAGAGTTGTGACTGCTTTGTCTCCAGGACTGACCTTAAGTTATAGATAGGGGAAAAGGCTGCCTCTTTCTAAACCACAACAGCTTAAGGTTAGGGTGTTAAGATTCCAGAATCTTATCTGCCATCTGGAGAAAGGGTTGCCTCTGTAACTATAGAAAAGAAAGAATATTTTTGTAACTTCATCTATTGACTGTTTGTTTGCAACTGTATGAACTGTGCCAAGTCTTCAAGGACTTTGAATAAATAAATATTCTTTTTTGATGTTTAAAACCAGTGCTAGTCTCAGTTGCTTAGTATCTTAAGTTTTCAAGATAGACAACTGCTGTTCGCTCAGCTATAGAGAGAAGCACGTCGCAGTCTTATTTTTTATAGCGTCTGGGCGGACGGCACAGTTCCAAAACTTTGTCAGTCTGGATTCGAAAGTCCCACAGTATTTTTGCATGTTCATTTTCCACGACCTTTGCGGGTTTATGATCCCACCAATTCTTTACTTGCTGGCAGGTGGTACTTGTGACATAAGTTCCAGTGAATCATCTGGGCCACAGAGTTGTGTCTTTGTTTGTAGTCCGTCTGTGCGATTTTCTTGCAACAGCTGAGGATATGGTCCATGGTTTCATCAGCTTCCTTGCACAGTCTGCATTTCCCAAGCATCTAGGACAGATTGTGATTTTTTATTTTATTATTATTATTATTATTATTATTTGAAACACAACAAGATGAGTCCACAGCAGACAAGATCACTCTGCTGGCTGTTGTATTGGATCACACGTCGGACACTTCCCAAGTGTCTAGGACTGTGTGATGTATCGGCGAATAATGCGTGCAGATCCCAGTAAGGTGGCCTTTTGCAGCTGGCAGATGGTAATTTTGTCAGCGCCGATTGTGTTTAAGTGCATGCCAAGGTCTTTAGGCACTGCACCCAGTGTGCCGATCACCACTGGAACCACCTTGACTGGCTTGTGCCAGAGTCTTGGCAGTTTGATCTTTAAATC